AAAAATAGAATCTTCAAGCTTCAAGATGCTTCTTGTTTTTCTCATTATTCACGAAGTAACAGCCTTACAAAAATCACTAAAACGATTTGAAAATTTTTCTGATACTTTATTTTTTTTTGCTGTGTATTAAAAATGAATTGAAACAATAATTTTTTTTTAACTTTCATTGACAAAATACCAAACGTTTTTTTATGCAAACAGACCATTTAAATTGAAAAGAATCTTTATTGCGATTTTGACAATTGGTTACAAAACAAGTGATTTTTTTACGAAACATTTATTTAAAACTTGAACTTGAAAATTTCAATAACAGAGACTGAATTCATATTTTTATTTTATTTGACTTCACTTACCGATACACATTTTTTAATTTATAAAACAGTATTTTTTTTTATATTTTCTGTATTATGTGCAATGTTTAGTAAATAACCAAATCTTTTGCTCTCGCTTTACAAAAATCATCTTTTGTTACAAACTCTAATCAAATTTTATTTTATATTTTCTTCCTACAAGATTTTACAAATAATTCATTTAAACATTTTTTACCAAGTTTTTTTAATACTGTGGGATTTGGGATTTTAGTTCATGATGAAATTATGTGACATTTTGCACCTGTCAAAGATATTGAAAACTAAAATAGCATCAATGTTACCTTTTTCAATAATGTAATTATATTTCTACAACAAAAAGTAAAGTAGGTACGTTTTTATTAAAATTTGCCTTTACTAAAATATTAAGAATATTATATCTCTTACATTATTAAAATTTTAAAAAAAATCCGCCTGTTTATATCAAATACAGGGAGATTCACACATGGTGACCAAAAATGAAACCTTGTGTTCTTTGATGAATTTTAAGAGGAGTCTTTCCTACGAAGTTTTTATCTAGGTCGCTTCATTAAGAAGATACAGGGTGTTAAACTTCAAAAAATATTTTCAATTTTTTAAAATAATTTAAAAATTAGTAAGTGAAATAATTTAAAATTGTGCACACGTATTTATGTAAACATTGTCCAAAATCTGAGACCTTTTTCTAAAATTTAGATGCTTCAGTGACGGAGATCCAAGGTATCGGTAGCATTTGTGAATCATCCTGTATATGTACGTATAATATATAATATCAAATGATATACTTAGACTTAACGATTTAATAGATAGCCAGATAAACGAATTTTTAGAAAACTGTTTAAAATAAATATTGAAATAATTGCAAAAATCTTTTTAAAACATTATTTTACTACAAGGTGGTTTCAAAAATAAACATACAATTTGCTTTAAAAACATCTGAATCGAATTTCAAAACGGACACAGATACAACAAAAATAAAACAGTACAAGAACAGCTAAAGATTGTTGCTGCTTGCATAGCGTATACAGGGTAAGCCAAATTTAATATCGGACCCTAGTACATACGTAAATTTGGGAGCAATGGTACCTAGTTTTCAAAATGAATAATTTTTCATATGAACATCTTTCCAAAAGTGCTTCCTCTTCTATATTCAGGGCGAAGATTTAAAAAATATCCACTATTTTTTATCTTTTCTCAACTAACGGAAATTTGAAAACAAATTTAACATTCTAGGGCCAACATATTTTTTCCAAAAGCAATTTAGACAAGAAATTATTTCGACACACCTTAAGCTCATACTTGAATGCAAATTAAAAAAATCAAGCGCGTCGTAAGACTTTCACGATTTCAAAGAATGTCAAGAAACAGTTTTCATTTAAAATTGCTACATTAGAAAATGCAAACCATTTTTATTTTGTACATACGGTACTACTTTTTTTATCAAATTAACTAATGTAATATTAAGGTATAGTAAGCCAGCCTATTCAATACGCTGTGTACCAAGTTCCGAATATTCTGTTAGTTTGAAAAATATACAGGGTGTTTATAATAAGTGCGAAATATTTTAGAGGGAGCACCCTACCGAAGTTATTTTGCGAAGAAAAGTTCATATAAATGTAAGTGAAATATGCTTCGTTTCCGAGATACAGAGTGTTTAAATTTAGTTATTTCTATTAATTATTTCAGAGTTTTAAAGATATGGACTCGAAATTTGAAAAACGCTTTGGGGGGATAAATGTGCTTTTTTGGGCCAATCCGAATATTTCTACTTGTACCAGTGGCGTTTGTGCAAGAATGCCACAACCTTTAATAATAAAAAAATGGTACGCCACTGGCTTTTTCCTGTTTTGATATTTTTTTAAAAATCCGATATTAATCCCGAATGAAATTGGTCTCTTCAATTTTTTTCGTAGGATGCACCGTTTTCGATGAAAAAAATAAAACATCTTTTATTGTAGGTTCTGTTAATCTTTTATTTAAAGGCAGGTAGAAATATTCAGATCATCCCAAAAATGCATATTTATTCCTCCAAAACGTGTTTCACATTTTGATTTAAAACTTTGAAATAATTAATAAAAATAAATAAAAAATTAAAATTTAAACACCCTGTATCGCGAAAACGAAGCATATTTCGACCTACATTTACATGTAGTTTTTTTCACAAAATAACTTTGGCAACCACCCCCTAAAATATTTCGCACTTATTTACAAACACCCAATATAAATGTATTTTTTTACCGATTTAATTCGGTTTTTCCTTTTTTTTAAGACAAGCTTAGAAAATCCGTTACATCGTACAATATATGAATTCATTTTCAGTTATCATAGCCTACTTTTTATTTTCTGTCAAGTTTGACAAAAATTGGTTAGCGAATATTTTATTTCAAATCTGACTACGCCACTGGATTCTATATCCCCTGATGTAGTTTGTATCAAATTTCCCGAATAAATATTAATTGCTAATAGTGAAGTTCATAATAATAATAATAATAATAATGTTTTAACAATTCTGTTCCTCCTAAACGGGGTAAATAACCCATGGAATCAAAAATAAATTTAAAAAAATTATAAATAAATAAATACATAATAAATGGTTCGTTTGGATTAACTGATGAAAGTGCGACTATCTTGAAACTGGGGAGGTTTATCGATATCAAAGAAGTATGCCTTTTTCCTTTAATAGTGCTCTATAGCAAATAGGCAACCAGCAATACATTTTTGTAGATTTTATTGCACAGTTTGTCTAAATATGAATTAATGCACAAATAACAGACTTTCCTCCATTCTAACGCAGATTTTCTATAAAATGGAGTTAGTTTGAAACTCAAATTACTTTTTGTTGTAATAGTTCAGACGGTATATGTTTAGAGTCCATATTTGGGTGAATCATATATCCACGTAGATTTTTGGCTTTTTGGCTTTCAAATATCACCAGAAATGAAAATTTTACTATGCGCATAAAAAAGCGTGGGCATAACTTTTAGCGGCACAATATGTTAAAAAACTTCGAAAAATTCGCAAAAATCGCCAAAAATGAGGTTAAAAAACATTACTTTTTAGGGAATTCTAAAATTGTTTAAACAACAATTATTTTCAAAATATGTGGAAAATTATTAATTAATTAATTAATTAATTAATTAATTAATTATTAATTTAATCGTCATTTCTTTTGCGATTAAAGTATAATTCAAATATTATTTACTGTTTAAAATATAAGCAAATGAGAAATTAACTCATTATATTACAAAAATACAAAATTATAGTACAAAAATTCGACCAATGTTTAAACAAGCACCAGAGCTCTCCTAATTAACGGATTCGAATTTTTCAAAAAGCGTTTGAAAGCATGAGAGCCCTTCTATACGTGATTAAATTTTCAAGGACCTTGGTTTTTGCTGTGCAAAATTTTGAAAATTTGCAATTCTATTTTCAAAATCTGGATTGCAAAATTATTATGCAAAATCTATCGAACCGATTTTGATGAAATTTGGTGTGATGATTCTACATGACATGAACTTTTCTTGAGCCAAGTATGAAGGTCCTATACCTAACTTAAAGACCCCAAAAAAAAATCCCTAAAAAGCAATGTTTTTAACCCCATTTTTGGCGATTTTTTTCAATTTTTACAATAAAAATTATGATTCATTCGATTTGTAACTAGTCATATTTTGTAAAATTTAATTACAAACATTTTTTTCCTCTTCCGTTTTCGTCTAAAAACAACTCTTGAAAAGATACATAATTAAATAGGAAGAAAAATATGACATTTTTCAAATTTTTTTAACATATCGTGCCGCCAAAATTAAGACCACGTTTTTTTTATGCGGATAGAAAAATTTTCACCTCTAGTGATATTTGAAAGCCTAAAAGCCAAAAATCTCCGTGAATATACGATTCACCTAAACCAAAATAGATACCGCCTAGAAATTTGTAATTTGGCGCTTTTAAACAAGCGGCAACGTAAATTACAAATATTTTAGACAAACAGTGTAATAAAATCTATAAAAATGTATTGTTGGTTGCCTCTTTGCTATAGAACCCTCTTAAAAATAACCAATTAATCAAATTTTTTATTCAAAATTGCGATAGAGAGTTGCATAACAAAAGTAAAATGAGCAATTTTTATTCGTATTATTTCTATTAGTAACCTAATAACTGAGTTCGAATTCGGATTTCCCATGCACCATCAAAAACTCCCCATTCCGAGTTTTCAAGTTATTTTCTCTAAGACTGCAAAATTTTCTCTAAAACTGTAAATTTAAAATCAATCTTTAACACCCTGTACCTTTTAAACGAGCAATATTTTGTTAAGGCATATTTAGCTAAATCTCATTATTTTTATGCCTAAAATCTATGGCCCAATCATTACGGACCACCCTGTATATCAGTTTTGTTGAAACGTTATGACTTCACATCAGAGGGGGCATTTTTGAAAAAATATTGACATGAAAAACTCTAGTTATGTCAAAAGTACTGTTTAATCTCGGGTGTAACGTTAAATCATGCTCACCCTGTATAACCTTTACTGCAGCTTTGAACGTGCTTCTCAAGCCTGCCTGCATGGCTATTCCACTTAAAAAAATGCCAAAACCACCGCGTAATACACTCCAACTAGCTATTCAAAAATTTTTACACGGTGTCACGATTTTCTAGAGGAATTTTCCTGCATTCCCGGGCAAACCTTTGCCAAGGAATGCAACACATGTACATGCACAGCGGATGGCAAGAACGCCATCTGTACTCTAAACCCCTGCGACATCAATAAGGATTAGCCCAATCGTAGTTGTAGGTAGCTTTTAATTCAATTTTCTTGACTTTTATATGTTAGACTTAAGAGAGAAGTTGGTAACACCGGGAGAGACCCAATTTTTATATTTTTTTACGATATTTATTTAATCTCGAACTTCATTATCATCAAACATTATTTTTTCGCGCATGTTCATCGCATTGTCACAAATTCAGTAAAATTAGATCACTCATTTCCAAGAACAATTATCAGTTTCTGCAATAGTAAGATATGCTCTCGGTTGCCAACTTATTTTTAATAGATGTTTTTACATGTAATTTTTAATATGTAACTTTTTCAGTGTTAGTAACTGTTTGTGTATGATGTCAATTAATTGTAAGCGTAGAGAAAGTCCAATTTAGGTTTAATTCAGGATATATAGTATAAAATGCAGACAATGTGACAATAAAAAAGGTTGTACATAAAATTTCGAAAATTTTGCTGTTACACTCAAATCACATTTTTTCATTACCGTTCACGCAACCTTCACTGTCTGCTACTATTTTGCCATTTTCTCTACATCTTACATAAGAACTAGATCTAAGGTATTACGAGTAGTATACGAAAACACAAATGGTGTTCAAGTAGAGTGCTCCCATTACGTAGATTAAGTCACTTTTTGAACTATAGGAAAATAGTTCATCAAAATTTGACTATTTTCTGTATTGCTGAAGGGAACGTTAGTAAGAAGAAATATTCTTTTAATCATAATTATAGTAAAAGTTTCTTTTCTGTTTCTTCTTGGTAAAGCATTCCCCTGCAATGTAGCAGAAGGAAAAATTACTAAAAAGAAACATATCCTCGTTCCTAAATGCACAAGTAACGCACAATTTTTATCTCAAAGTTTCTTTTTAGTAAATATTCTTCATCATTTTCCATGTTGCGAAATGAAAATTTAGTAAAAAGAAACTTTCATCTATTTACAGCTGTTGATGTTATTCTATTTTCGTTTTTCTTCTTATTAACTAGTTCCTCTGCAATTTTTTGACATTTTTCTGTGAATTGTGACATTTTTATATGTATTTTCTGATTGTATTGTAGTATTAAACATTGTATTGGTGGTGGATTTCAAATATATAAGTGTAAATGCATTTTGGGTATTTGTTGCTTTCGTGTCCATTTTAACATCCTTCACATAATAATATCATTGATACAAGTTCACTTTATCATCATTGCTTCGTACATTACAACAAAATGCAAAGTATGCAATGTTCCAGCATGTTTAAACTTAAAAATAATAACAACCCTTTAGTATTTGGACTCATTTTTACTTATGACTGAACTGAAATGAATTAAAAGTGGGATAAGTGAGGGAACGATACGACATTATTAATATGTTTTAAATAAGGTCAATAAGTTAAAATAAAAGGCACTATTTAGATTTTATTTACATCTAGGTTTGTTAAAATGTATATCTCTTCAATAAGAGGGCTTTGTAGCAAATAGGCAACCAGCAATACATTTTATTACACAGTTTGTCTAAATATGAATTAATGTACACAAATAACAGACTTTTTAACACAGATTTGTAATTTGCCGCTTTTGAACAAGTTCTAAGGGCTTTTTTATGGTACATGAGGTCACAATAGGGAAATGAATTTTCCGCTCAAGGGGTGGATATTTTAGTGAAAAGTTCCTGTATGGCATTTGTGCTCTTTTCGAATTCATTAAAAATTTACTATTAAAAAAATATTGCCATATAAATATCGTGGCACTAAAAGGAAAAAAGGCCCCAAAGTTCCAAAAAAATTTCCAATACAATATAATAATTATTATTATAAATTTTTTTTTAATTAATTATTATATTTAATTTAATTATTGATTAACATAATTTAGTTTTACATTTTTAATGAGCTTCCTACTTAGAATTTAGGAAATACTATCTCTTTTCATTTTATTATTTATACAATTTATGCATATATTATTTGTATATTTCATGCAAATGTAACGGCAATACAATTTTTCATCATTACTTAACTCCCTTCATAATCTGCAATGAATGCCGTACAGGAATTGTTAATTATTGAATATAGTAAAATTGAGATTTTAAATTATTTAAATATTTTTTATAGCATTCAATGAATGTTCCATCAAAAATGTACGGCGATACAATTTTTTATTATCATTTGATGGTTTTAATGTTATCGGGTAAATACCGTACAGGAATATATGATTTCATAATGTAGTGAAAATGCCTTGGAAAATCCTACTAAATATGGAAAACTCTGAAATTAAAGTAGACGGCACCCACAATTTTATTAATATTAACCGTTGAATAATTTAAAACAGTAATAAAATTGAAAATATATAATACTATAGTACAAGGGTCGGCAACTGGCGGACCACGGTCCAGGTCCGGACCGCGGAAAGTAAAATACTGTAGACGCCAAAAATTTTTTGAAAGTATAAATTACTCAAATAAATTATTTAAAAAATGTTTTTTACGTTTAAGTGCCAATCTTATCATTTTTTCTAGTATTTTACAATTGTGTGAGTGTTTTGAGTTCTTAATGGTTAGTAAGCAGATTAAATTTGATCCCAATTAAAATAAAAAATAAGAAATATGAATTTTTTTCTGGACCTCGTTAAAAATTTTCAAAAGTATCCAGACCCCACCTAAAATTACTTGCTGACCCCTGCTATAGTAGCTGTCAAATGGATTTTCCAAATTGCAAAAATGATAAACAATGTTTTTTATTCATAGTCAATCGTTCTTTTCTGGTGCCAATAATTTTATACGGCACTTTTGTATAAAGACTATAAAGTGGAATAGCTTCCGAAATTTATGCCGCTCAGGAAATAATGGTTTTTACCCAAAGAAAAATGGCGTTAACTTCAGAGCACTCATAATGATGTAATAATTTTTTTTAGCCAAATATTTTGTTCGGCACTTATATTTTTCATTATTTTAGAGCATAAATAAAACTCTGAAATCGGTTTTCTATAATTTTTACATTAGTGAAAATATTTAGAATATGAAAATTTTTTATTCTTTCCAGAACCGTTATTTTTGTACGGCATAAGGTTTTTATGTCATATTCTTCTAATATCTGTCTTGGGTCGAAATGCTGTCAATTTTTATTTAATTAATTTACCCGACCCAAAATTGGAAAGTTTGATTTTCCGCTGACAACCCATGTGCCACGGAGAATTGACGGCATAGTGTTCAAATGTTTTCTTTTAGGTTGTAGTATTTAAATCATATACTCTTACGGTGCCGAAAATGATTAGGAAAATTTTCCTATCCGGCTCTTAGTCTATCTGTTATTTGTACATTAATTCATATTTAGACAAACTGTGTAATAAAATTTATAAAAATGTATCACTGGTTGCCTATTTACTATAGGTACTTAAAACTCTCTTAAGAAAAAAAATTAGATCGAAAAGTTAGGAATTTGGTGTAATATTACCGCGGACAGTCTTCCATGTAAACTTTAACTTCGTGGTTGAAAGAACGTCAATATCTCTTGAAATAACCTCCATTAAAGTTATAACGATTATAATTACGTTGCAGCGACTATTTAATGTTAGGTTTATTATGGCTTTAAACTGACAAAATAAACAAATTCTACCGCTTGGGATAGATACAAACAATAAAGAAAATAAGATCTTCCACTTCTGGCCAAAATTTCTTTATTGGAACTATATCAAAATACTATTAAAAGTACATTCTTAGAGTGCTTTTGTGATGTTGGTTGCTCACCTTCGTTCAAATTTTCAGTGAATTTAACAAATCGATGATTCTTTTTCAGAACTGTGTCAACCCGGCGCGATTTGGAAAGTTGACTGCAACACTTGTTCTTGCACACAAAACAGAGTTGCGTTTTGCACTCGAATGATGTGCCATGAATATTAAAATGTTATAATGAAAATAAAATTAACATCCCAGTGTACAGAGGAATAATAATACATTTAGAGTAAATTTTTTTATCAGAACTATCTTGCTTAGAATATGTGACATTTATTAATATTTTTGTTACGGGCACTAATAACTTTTAAATCGCAAAACTAATAAATGTATAGATTTAATAGACTCACCTTTTATATCAGCGTTTAATAATTTCCTATAAAATATACTGGTATGCACAGAAACTTATGAATATTCTCTTCGATAGTTAGCATGCATAGGGGCACATCATATTTTTAACATCACTGGTGGTATAGACGCTAGGCCAAGGTAAAGTTTTCTAACATTATTTGACTATTACTTTAGACCGTTGATTAAACCGATACCATGTATATTTTGCAGGTACTTGCACCCCTGGCACCACTTTCAAGAACGACTGCAACACTTGTACTTGTACAAGTACGGGGATAGCAATTTGTACAGCTAAAGCTTGTCTTTAAACGAGCATGACACAACTAGACATTTCTACAATGTTAAGATAGATTTTTGACGATAGAATTGTGTATATAATGTAGTTTATTTTTTCATGTTAACAATAAAGTGTATTTTTCTTTGTTTATGTGGATCTAACAAATGAACAATTAAAGAAATTGAATTGAACTTTAGATTTTTATTTACCAGTCCTAATCCCAATACATAATATAACATAATGTTGGGTACGTTTAACCTATAATTATATTTATCGTAGATGCACAAACATCTATAATTAAATCAAAATTCATGGAAAGAGCTCTTACAAATCTAGTTCTAAGTACATCAATAAAAATGCATTTAAAAATATATTGAAGTCATTTCCTGAACTGGCTTGTTTATAATAATAATAATACACACTTATATTTCATAGAAGTAAAGTTATGTGCGTTTTAAATAATTTTATCTTTACAGTGTTAGTGTATATCTATATAGTATATATATATCAATCTGGAGACTTCATTTAAATTTCAAGTAAATTTTTATAACAATCCTGCGACATCTATCGATAATTTCAGTAACCTAGTCAATTTAAGCTGGATGAAACCTTCAAAGTAAACTAGAGAGTTAGCTATTGGTCAATAGAGGTCACATGTAAAAATAACACGTTTCATATTTTAAGTAACTTAGTACTTAATTATAAGTAATTTTATACTTAATAGTAAATTTTCCTATAGCAAAGAGCTCAGATAGAGTTTTAAAATATAAATTATTTGTTTTGCAATTTACTTAACTCTGAAAGCAGAGACCTCTGTTAGATGGTCCAATAACTGTTACAGTAAGTTAAAAGTGTTGTAAAGATTTCTCTCTGTGAGGTATTGCTTGGCTTACTAGGTACCACGGGAGATGGCGCCAGAAATACAATTCAAACGTATTCAAAATAAGTACTACATAACTTTTAACCATTAAATTATTAATTTCAGTGCTTTAAACATATCTTCTGGAAAAACGAATTAGGTTACATATTATAATCTGTTATCTCTAAACGTCAACATAAGGATGAAAAAATTAAATTCTCCGTAACGATGAAACAAAACGTTTGATTTATTTTTCGGCATATCCATTTTGTTGAAACTTCTTGGGTCATTTTCATTCTTACTAGTCTTAAGACTATTCTAATTCTTTGATGACACTACCTTTGTCCATTATGAGAATAAGAAAAATAATGTTTTGTTGCAAAACCTTTCTAACACAAAACAATGAAAAAATTGTAAACGCGTTTGACACAATTATGAAAATATGTTCTTCTGAAATCGTTCGGAAATGTGTACATTTTTGTCCCAATTCAAATCTCAAAATATGGTATTCTAGTATTTTAATTCGATGTTAAGCAACCATCAGCAAACAGTACAGGAGAGTTAGCTTTCCAGTATAGACCGAGAATATTTAATACAGTAAATACCTATAAATACAGGCAGACAAGCCAACTCACATCAAAAATGCATTACTTACTAAATATAATATAAACTGAATGTACATATTCCATATATTACACGTTTAATATAACTATTTGTTTATATTTACAGTTAATTAGCAGTTTGTACAACTATTAAACATTGGCGGAACTTTATTCGAAAAATCGCCGACATTATTGCTGTTGATTATTTCTTCTTCAACAATATTATTACTACCAACAAATTCCTATTTGTCTCTATTGGCCATGACCAAAAACACTCCAAAACCAATTGAAATAATGTGACATTTGTCATGCTA